CACCTGCTGCACAGGATAGCAGCCAAAGAGAATCTGGTGGCTCCAGACTGGCCTCATCAACCGCGGTACACCAACGTAGTGCGGCTAGCCCCCTGGTGGCTGCCTCTTCGGAAGGGCCTCCTGTTCCAGGGTCCAATCTACCACCCTGCTTTAACTTCTCTGACTTTGATAGCATGGCTATTGAAAGTCAGGCTTTAAGGGACAGGGGGCTGTCATGTTCGGTGATACATTGCTAAAGGTGCACAATCTACCTCTTGAAAGATATACTATTGCACCTGGAAGGCTTACATAATTTAGAGCGAGACTCTGAGTGTTCATCTTCGTTTCTTCTCAGTGGCTTAGGGCACTGACCAACAGCTTGCCTTGAGTATCATAATGGTCAGGTTTCTGCCGTTGCTTTCTTTTTTCAGCATCCCTTGGCCAGCAATTTATCATGGGGGTTCATCATTTGGCACCTCCCATGCGTTCCCCACCGTGGGACTTGAATTGATTTCTTTCGGTTCTCCAGAAAAAATTGAGCACTGACGTGATACTTTTTTTACTTGCACTAACATACATTTTTGAGGACAAGCTTTTGGGGTATGTCCCCTTCTTCAAGGTCCAGGCAGTACTACTTCACAAAGTTTTAGCAGAATGTTAGAAGAGATGTTGAAAGGGGGAGAAAAACAAAACATAACAGAAAGAAACACACACAAACAAATGTACACAGCAATGGTTATAAAACTAGGATTAGACTAGAGATAAGCAGCAAAAGCAAAGACTGGGGGGAACAACACTCACAGAGGGGGTTGTAAAACTGTTGGATAATGAGTGAGGAATCCCATGTTCAAATTAAGGCCGTTATCTCTTGTATCAAATAGAATTATCATTCTTAGTTCAAAAGTTTTCCTTTCCTGAATAGTTTTGAAATTTCCTTTAAGAACTAAAATATCGAGGTCTTCAATAGTGTGGTCTGGTTGTGCGAAATGGTGTCCCACAGGTGTGCAAAAGTCATCTTCTTTATGTTCCTTGATGGTATGTCTGTGCAAATTCATCCTTGTTTGCAATTTCTGTCCTGCTTCGCCAACATAAGATCCTTTGCTACATTTTCTGCACTGGATTAGGTACACAACATTACTGGAGGTGCAGCTGTATGAACCGGAGATATTAAAGATCCCTTTTGAGTGTCTGACACTTTTTGATGGATTGATTTGGTTGCACAGTCTGCAGCGGTTTTTATTTTGTGACATCTTGATCAGAAGGAAGTTTGCTACTGATTAGTTTATTTCTGATGTTGGGGGGTTGTCTGAAGGCAAGTATTGGGGGTTGCTGGAATATTTCTTTCAGAGTTCCATCCTCTGTTTTGATGTGTTGTAAATCTTTGATTATTTTTCTTATTCCTTCTAGTGCTGGGTTGTATGTAGTTACTAGAGGTACACTCGTGTTTATTTTTTTGTACTGAAGTAGATTTTCCCTTCGGGTTCTCAAGGCTGTGTTTATGCTGGGGTTGATAGTTTTGTCCTTGTAACCTTATGGAAGGCAACTGCTAGTGTCCCGAGATGTTTATCTCTGTCTCTTGGGTCAGAACATATTCGGTGGTATCTAATGGCCTGACTGTGTATGATGGCACGTTTTGTATGTTGGGGGTGGAAGCTAGAACTGTGGAGGTAGTTGCATCTGTCAGTGGGTTTCCTGTATATTGAGGTGTGAAGCGTATCATCCCTGATGTATACTGTGGTGTCTAGGAAGTTGACGTGTGTGTTTGAGTATTCCATTTTTAGTTTGATTGATGGATGAAAAGTGTTGATCAATGAGTAAAATTGTTTTAGGTTTTCTTCACCTTCTGTCCATATGATGAAAATATCATCAATATATCGATAGTATCTGTATGGTTTTTGTTCCATGCTGTCCAGGATTTTTTCCTCCAGGTCAGCCATAAATAAATTGGCATATTGGGGTGCCATTTTACTTCCCATCGCAGTACCCATACATTGAAGATAGATGTCTTTATTGAAGGCAAAGTAGTTGTGTGTAAGTGTGAATTCAATGAGCTGTGTAACATCCTCAGCAGTGTATTTGTGGTTTGGTGAGGATGATAAAGATCTGTGACATGCAGTTAATCCATCCTTGTAAGGGATAATATTATACAGGGATACTACATCCATAGTCACTAGAAGTGTATTAGATGGTAATTGCTGTATGTTGTTGATCTTGTTCAGAATGTCAGTTGTGTCTTGCAGGAAACTAGCAGTATTCTTGACTAACGGTTTTAAAAATGTTTCTACAAAGCCTGAGATTTGTTCAGTGAGTGTGTTCATACCTGTTATGATGGGTCTGCCTGGCTTGTGGATTTTGGGCAGCATGTAAAAGTCCCCAATTTCTGGATGATCCAGAATCGCATTTATAAGTTCTGAATGTAGTGTTTTAATGAGACCTTTTAATTGCTTTGTAAAGTCCTGGGTCGGATCATAATCCAGTTTTTTATAGTAGATGGCATTTTCCATCTGCCTCTGGCCTTCTTGTATGTATTTGTTTGTATCCATCACAACAACTGCTCCCCCTTTATCCGCTGGTTTGATGGTGATGGCCTGATTATTGCGCAAATCGTGTATAGCCTTTTGCTCCAGTGGTGAAAGATTGTACAGAATTTTCTTTTGCTGGGTGGATATCAGGGATGTAGCTCGCAGTCTGAAGCTATCAATATAGGTGTCCGGTTTAGGGTTGCGTCCTTGTGGAGGTGTGAAGTAGCTGTTCTTTTTCTTTGTGTAGCACTCCATTGTCCTAGCATTCCTTTCATTTCTGTGGAAATATTCTTTGAGCCTTAGTCTCCTGAAGAAATCCTCCATATCTGACAATAATTGTAAATGATCCAATTTGGTGGTTGGGCAGAATGTAAGGCATTTGGAAGGGATGGTTAATTCTGGTTCAGAAAGTTTATGATTGATGATTCCAAGTTCCTGTGTTATATCCACATTTTCAGGCAGGTCAGCACTAACACAAGGGATGCCTTGGGATTCCGGATTGGATTTCAGGTCACTGATAGTAGGAGGTATAGATGTTGGGTTGCTTTTACGTTTAGGTTGTATCCAAAAGGTCTGCTCTTGGTTTTGGTTCTCCAGAAACCTCCCTTTTGAGAGCATTTGGGAGATTCCTTTCACTTCTACACAGCAGGTGTCAGAACTAATGGCTGTATCCTGTAAGCCTCACTAATTGATTTTGCACAAGGATAAGGTGGCTCTTTGTCCATCCCCTTCCTTTTTCCTGAAGATGGTGTTGGATGTCCACCTGAATAAGGACATTGTGCTTCCTTCCTTGTGTCCTTGACCTTCTCATCCTATTGAGGTGGCTTTGTAGTCATTGGATGTGGTCCTGATATTTCGGGTGTATGTACAACATATATGTAAAGCGCTGCGTAAAATTTACAGCGCTATATAAGTACCGGAAATAAATAAAAAATAAATAAGTCTTCCGGATGTTCGACTCCCTCTTTGTGCTCATGGACAGGCCAAGGAAAGGCATGATGGCCTTGTCTGCCATTATTTCTTGTTGGATCCAGCCGACTATTGTTCTTCATTATGGCACATTCCACCATGGCGATTAGTGTCTCCTGGGAGTTCCTGCATCAGGCGTCTGTGTGTCAGGTTTGCAAGGTGTGCGGCCTGGGCATATGTGCACACTTTTGCAAAGTTCAACAAGGTTGATGTGTTGGCATCTTTGGATGCTTGTTTTGGCCACAAGATTTTGCAGACTGCTGTTTAAGGTCCCCGTTGGACCCTCTGGGGTTGTTAAGCGTGAGATGTTTTGCCTGGTTGATCTGACTGTTATAGTTTGTCCATGCCTCATTGAGGCACTGCTTTGGGATGTCCCTATTGGTCAAAAATTTGAAGGGCTGTGTCCGTCAATGAACGTGAAAGAAAACAGGATTTTTGTGCTACACACTGTAAAAATCCCTTTCTTTGAGTGAATTGAGGGACATAGCACCCACCCCTCTTTAAGCGATTTTGATCCTAATGCTGCTTTGTGTCTAACTGGCTTGCCTATACAGAGAGGAGGTTTTAATGCCAGAGCGGACTGCCCATAGAAGGTGCCGAGGTATTTTTTCTGCCTAGTGTCTTGCTCCTGCAGGTGACGCTTATAAACCCCTATTAGTCAATAATCTGATGTCTGTGTCTGTCAATTAACTCAGAGAAAGCAATTTTATGGCGAACAACACAGAAACCTTTTTTTTTACTTATCTGAATCTGTGGTCATGTGACACTCCAATCTTCTCTCTCCTTCTGTTTACAGGAGATGAGGTCCTTCTTTGGGTATCCATGTCATTGCCTGCGTGACATGGGCACTTTCATTTGGCTATCCAGTAGTGGGGTGCTCTCTGGATCCAGAAGGGGAATCCTAGTAGTACAGAAAGGCTTCTTCACAATAAGAGCTGTGAAAAATGTGGAATAGACTCCCTTAAGAACTGGTTCTGGTCAGTAGATTGCTTTAAAAAGGCCTGGATTATTTCCTAAATGCACAGAATATAACTGGATAATTCTATTTAGAGGTAAAGTTGATCCAGGGAATATCCAATTGCCTCTTGAGGGATCAGGAAGGATTTTTCCCTGCTGGAGCTAGTTGGATTATGCTTTATTGGTGGGGGATTGAAATCCTCTGGATCAACTGTGGGTATAATATAGTATATATGAATGTTTTCTATTTGTGTGTGTGTGTTATTTTTTTTGTTGGTTGAACTGGAGGGGCAAATGACATTTTTTAACCAGATTAACTATATAGCTATGTAACATCAGTGTGGGGAAGCCAGCTGGTGCAGGCTGTAGCACTGGATTACAGCCTCCCTGCACCTGAAAAAGGCACTGATGAGGGACTCAGTTGGTGGCTTTGAGTGGGTAAAACTTCACTTTTACAGGTATTATAAAAAACAAACAAACAATAGGATGTTTGAGAAGGGAGGGGGGCAATAAGGTTTTACCTGGAGATGAGCTTTAAAAAATGTACTATTTAATGTTTTGTTTTACCTACAGGAGATGGTGCAGCAGTTCTTTTAAGATCTCTAGAGCCTATAGAAGGCCTTAATGAAATGAGAAGCTTTCGAAGTAATCGAAGAAATGCATTAAAGCCATTGAAAGACAAAGAGCTTTGTAATGGACCCTCAAAACTCTGTCAGGCTTTGGATATTGATAAGAGTTTCGACCGCCGAGATCTATCCAGTGACCTGAATGCATGGTTGGAGGAGGGGTCAGAAGTCATGGAAAAAGACATTGTATCTTGCGCACGGATTGGGATTGGTTATGCAGGAGAGTGGACACACAAAGCTCTGCGTTTTTATATTAAAGGCAACCAGTATGTTAGTGTGCGAGATAAAACTGCAGAGGGTGGTATGGAGTTTGTCCATACAAATGTACTTGAAGATAACAAGTGAAATATATATACTGTGGTAAATATGATATGGTACATTACACTAAAGGGGAGTGTAGAGTTATACTAGAGCTCTGACTTTGGACTTGGAAGACACCATTTTCATGTAATGGTAATTTTATGTGATTTGTTATACATTTTACATATGTTTGTACATATGTATGAGTAAACCTGCTGAGCATAAGAATAAATCACAAAGGCCTGCCCACACGTGCATTCTTTAGCTGTAAAATGTGCTTTTACTGTAAAAAAATTAAATTTATTTAACACTTATGAATTCAAAATAATCAGCATATTTCTAAACATAAATTAGGTTGTATGAGAATGGATGTTAGGGGAAGGCATCATTAACCACTTTCCCTCCAGAGTATTTATCCCCCTTCCTGACCAGACCATTTTTCACAAGACTGCGCTGCATTACATTAACTGACAATTACGCGGTCATGCAACACTGCACCCAAATGAAATATATGTCCTTTTTTCCTATAAAAGGAGCTTTCTTTCAGTGGTATTTGATCGCCTCTGCATTTTTTTTTGCAATATAAACAAAAAAAGACCAAAAATTATGAGAAAAACAATATTTTTGAATTTTTGCTATTAAACGTCCAGTAAACTTTTTTTTAAAAATCACATTTCGTCATAAATTTAGGCCAAAATGTTAAATCTTTGCTAAATAAATCCCACGTGTAAATTAATTGGTTTATGTGAAAGTTATAACATCTACAAATGGCGGTATATATACTGGAAGTTTTTGTTATATACTAGTAATGGCTGCGATCAGCAACTTAATACGGGACTGCGGTGGATCTGACACGGGGGGGGGGGAACTGTCACCGACATCCCCAGTAACACGAATACAGTGATCAGTGCTAATAAAAAGCAATGACACTGTACTATTGGCATTAGGCAGGAAGGGGTTAACAGCTGGGGCGATCAAAGGGTTAACTGTGTGCTGTTTTACAGTGTGCTTTACTGTGTCAGCACATTGCTTTGTATTGCTCTGCTATGCAGAGCAATACAAAGCAATGTGCAGGAGCTGACAGGGGAGAGATCTGTATTGTTTACATAGAGGTCTCTCACCCCCCCGTCAGTGATACTCGGCGATCTCCCGGTGCTGGCAGGGAATCACTGGCCAGGACCCGGTGATTGATAGCTGAGGCTGCAAGTGGCGGCACGGGTAGGGCCACCTACCCGGAAATGCTAATTTTTGCTCAGCCCTGCCGCCCTGTAGCAGTATCTCTGCTATAGGGTGGCAGGAATGCGGTTAAAGGTTCCTAATTGCTCCAAAATGTTTCACTTTTCAGTGCATTTTCCTTCATAGTAGGGCTGTTGATGAGATTAGTCATAATTGTGATCTAGTACTTCCTGTGACATTGTATGTGGATATATGTATGTATCGATTTCAATAGTAATACCTATAGATATATGAATGCCAGTTGTCTCTGCACTTTTTAGTTGTAAAAAAAAATTTCATATCAGGATATAATGCAAACTAGTAGATTGTCTTGAAATGAGCAAGGATTGTTGATTTATTTCTGCCATCATGTTACTGAAGGTGAGGTTAAGCCAGCAGGGAGAGTGGTGAATGTGAATCAAATCTAAAAATCATGCCCAACTTCATGTCATTCCCCTATGTTTTCTCAGGTTATGTTTATTCATTGCGATCTTGGGTCAAAACCTGGAATGTTCATGCTTTAGGACAGTGGTAAAAACCAAACCTTCTTTAATAGAACCTTCACCAAATGTACTTCATCGATCGTGATCTGTGTGATCATATGTTATAAAATCTGTATTGGCAAAATAAAGAACATCTTAAATAAATCTAGGTTTTATGGTATAGACCATGTATTCCACATTTTTTTGGCAACGATAAACCAAGTCAGAGTATATTTAGTCTATGTGAAAGTTATAGAGTTCACAAAGACTTGAAAGTCTGCTATAGATTTGAAAATTGATCAATCCTGATGTACTGACTGCCTATCTCCATTCTGGAGGCCCTAAAATGCCAGGACAGTACAAATGACCTCTTTTTGGAAAGTAGACAGTCCAAGGTCAGAGGTATGGGGAGTTTTTTTAAGTTAAAATTTATGTCACAATTTTCTGGAAAATTAAGAAATTAATTTTTTTTTTTCACAAAGTTGTTATTTTAACAAGCTATTTCCCACACACAGCATAGGTATACTTACAATTACATCCCAAAACACATTCTGCTACATACCACATGTGAGACTTTTTCATAGTCTAGATGTAGAGAGGGGCCCAAAATCTAGGGAGCATTTTTGAGCTTTTAACCTCTTCCCGTCTGGCTCATGTTGATAAACAGCTGGATGGGAGCGCTGCCGATGCGGGTGGATGTTTCTAAATGTCCCCCCACATCCATAACCTATGCACGCTCCCTGTACAGGACCTCTGTGTGAGGTCCCGATTCATGTGCACATGCATAGTAGTAAACAAGATGTCACTTCCTGACATCATTGCTTACTACTTGTGAAATCTGTGAATGATCACAGAGGTCACATAGTACAAGGCTATTCACAACAGCCTTTTACCATGTGACAAGCTGTGACCAATCACAGCTCGCACAGTATTTCCCAATGGCTGCAGGAATGCAGCCAGAGAGAAGGAGAAATGATTGCTTTTACACCCATAAAAGGCTGTAAAAGCAATCAGTGTAAAAAAAAAAAAATCTACATCACCCCCCCGTGTCACTATGGTGCCATTGTACTTCTTGCGTGACAGTATGTTAACAAAAAAGATGAAGAAAAAATTTTTTAAATTATAATTTTTGGTTATAAAACTAATTTTGGTTTTTTTTTTTTTTTTTTTTTTTTTTTTTTACTAAAAAGATAGATGAATACATTTTGACCAGGATTTATGAAGAAATGTTGTTTTTCAAAGGCACAAGCTCTCCAACAAAATGTATCAATTTACATGGACGAGACAATCCATTTACCACTGACAGGGGTGATCAAAATGATCATCTTTTATTGATTCATGTAAAACCTTATGCTGAAAGGGAAAATAAACTGTTGCTATACCTGATTATAAATAGTAATTGTATTGGAGTTTGGCTTCAGTTTGGTTTTGTATTCAGATCTGCTAATACATTTAACAGTCCCCCCCTTACCCAGACTAACAATACTGCTGTCTGCTGTGCCTCCTGTGCTCATTCATCAAAGTTGTGTCTCACTAATACAGAAGGTGTGTTCATGACCAGATCACCAGGTGAAAACAGAGGGCAAAAGCCAAAGAAAAGAAAAATGGATACAGCCACCACATCTGATTGGTAAGCTGCAGTATGATACATTTTTAGTTTTGGGTAAATACTGTTTTCAGGCATTCTAGGGGCATAAATTACACATCTAATTTCCTGTCTGCCTATCACATTTTTGGAGGCCCTGGAGCACCAGGACAGTGGAATCACCTCCAAAATGACCTCATTATGGAAAACAAACACCCCAAGGTATTTTCTAAGAGGCATGGTAAATATTTTTAATACTTCATTTTTTTGCCTACAGTTTTTGGAAAATGCAGAATAATTTATTTTCAAAAAGTTGTAAATGAATAAGATATTTCTAACACGACTCATATACCAATACTATAGTGCCAATATGAATGAACAATATACAAGAGAAGGGGCACCTACATCCAACACCCTCATGAGAAAACCGAAAAAAGGGGGAGGATAAACATCAATATCTGGACTTTCTCGGTGCCAAATGAACAAATCAGCACAACATTTTTTTTTTAAAAAGTGTACCAAAATAGTTTTTTTTATTACATAGTTTTTTTAAAAACATATTACTAACAAAACAAAGGCTAAAAATATACATTGAATAGTAGGACTCCTATTAAGCCCCATAAATGTAAAGAATTGTGTTATTAACCGTCCAACGACAAAAGATGGCTTACAAACAAATAAAAATATGGGAAAGGAACTGCAGCTGACCCTTTTTTTTTTCTTTGCTCCACACTACCGCTTGCTATAGCTGCATATTACAAGAGTGGGTATCTGAACTATGTGGATGTAACTGGGATATGTGAATTGATAAATCCCCCTACATGATACATTGTTCGCTCCACTTCAGATATTGACTCAAATTGCACGGACTGCATATCACCTAGCAGCTTATTTCATTGCTTGCTTTTATTCCCAAGCTTTATGCCAGTTGCTAACTATATTGGGAAAGGCTGAAGTTGCTTATTAATCAGGAGGAGATTAAGGGATTTGGTTCCACAATCATTATGTCATTTTGACATACAGTTTATATGCAACACCCAATTTCTCTAATTTAGCCATTGTTACTCTAGCTGTCTTTAGAGCCTGGGTTTTCATTAAGCCACACCCTCCCAGTCCACGTGTCTGTGACTAAGCATTGATGTCACTTTTTTAATTTTGTGGTTAAGAGAAGAACATTGTCTTTTTGGTGGTGATGCAGGGTTTTTACTTCGGTTTTTCTGATTTGGTTTTGACTTATTGTCATTTTAGACATGTATTAATAATGTTTTTTTTTTCTGGTTTTATTGATCATGTCATGCCATGTAGTCTCTAGAAGGTAACCACGTTTTAGGTGTGATCTTTTCACTCTTCTCATTATTTTGTTTCATATATCGGGTTACATGACACGGATTACTGAGTATGAGTTGGCAAACAGATAATTTATTGCTCCAAACATTCTTTTCCCTTTTAATACAAATACTTGGAATTATAACCCAAAACACATTCTGCTACTCCTCCTGTGTATGGGGATACCACACATGTGAGATTTTTTCACTGTATGGACTGATTATGTACCGGACATTCTATCTTGTATATTATACAAAGCAACCAATTGTATCAAAACTAATGCACTTTAAAAGGTTGTCTCTATACAAGTGATCAGGGAATATAGCTTTGTGTATTGTCAACTTTAACAGTCCCCATTGCTAATAGTCAAGCAAGCCTAGCCTACTGGTAAGTGGCTGCACCCAGGAATGGCATGTTCACTGGCCAGGAAGCACAGG